CACATGTCGGCCCCCCCCCCCGCCCCCCCCCCCCCAGGGACGGCAACGGGGCGGGTTTGGCAAAATCCACAAAAATTTCAACCTGCCCGCCCCGCAATATTTTTTTCAGTTTTCAACCCGCCCTGCTTGGACCCGCCTAATTTTTCTTTTCCTTTTTTTTTTAATTTTTTTTTCTAAAACAAATTAGTTTGACATTTTATTATTTTATAAAATGGAGAGTATAATAGAATCACATAAACATAAAATTGAGAGAGCTATGCTTATTTTCCAAAATGAATGGGTTACTATCATTTCTTATTACTAATACGAAATCTTGACTTATGTAATATCATTTTGGTGAGACTTATGCAAATTGATTAATTATAAATCAAATAAATTTTAAAATGCACATCTGGTGTCAGAAAAATAGAGTATGAAATAAAGAAAGCATAGATTTGATTCAGCGTAATTCATGTTAATTTCCTTGATTATAGTTGTTATTTTTTGTTAATTGCTTTAGTCTCGCATCTTAATTAGTGTTTGGTATAAGAAATTTTGGTCCATCCACATTTTCAGACTCTCTTTTAATTAACTGTCCCAAAAAAAAGGGCCAGCTCATAAAAGACCAAGTTATTCTAAGATGCCAAGTTAGGAATTAAGATTGATTTTATTATGAAATGGATAAATTTAATTCAAGTTAGCTTTTTAATTTAAATTAAAAGAATGTGAAATTGTAGTTGAAATGATTGCTTTGTTTCAAAAAAGCTAAAATTCAAAGTTGCCCCGCATTGAACTCGCATTAAACCCGCAACACGTCCTGTCCCGCTTTAAAAATTTGAAAAACTGTTTTAACCCGCCCCGCCCCGTACCCGCATAAGAGTAAACCCGCCCCGTCCCGCCCGGCATCAACCAAAACCCGCCCCGCCAGGGGCGGATGCACTTTAGCCGAAGCGGTGTCGTCCGACACCGCTTGGTCGGAAAGTTTTACTAAATGCACATAGAAACAGTATTTTAAAGAAGGGATATATAAATAACGACACCATTTGTCAAACAATCTATTTGGACTGGTGCAGGGGCGGATGCACTTTAGCCGAAGCGGTGTCGTCCGACATCGCTTGGTCGGAAAATTTTACTAAATGCACATATAAACAGTATTTTAAAGGAGGGATATATAAATAACGACACCATTTGTCAAACAATCTATTTGGTCTGGTGCAGGGGCGGATGCACTTTAGCCGAAGCGGTGTTGTCCGACACCGCTTGGTCGGAAATTTTTATTAAATGCACATATAAACAGTATTTTAAAGAAGGGATATATAAATGACGACACCATTTGTCAAACAATCTATTTGGTCTGGTGGACAGCGAATCTTTTTTCATTTAAAGGGCGTGGGATCGAAACCCATTGCAATATGTTTGCACATTTTTAAACCATAAAAATTAGATTCTCTCTGTCCTCTAGCTAAAAATATTGGTTGAACCACTGCACTAAATTCGTTATACATTAATCAAACTGATAAAAATTTAACAAATATAACATGCAATTATTGTAGTATAACTTAAACAAATTTAGAACTATAATTCCGAAGAAAAAAATTTACTCCTCTTTCTCTTACGATCTTTTCATCTTTAAACTTACTCCTCTTTCTCTTACGATCTTTTTATCTTTTTATTTTTAATGTTGTTACTATATTTTTTTTTTAATGATGACACCGCTTACAAAAAATTCTGCGTACATCTCTGTGCCCCGCCCCGCATCTGACCTGCCCCATTGCCATCCCTAGCCCCCTTGCTAGTTCCTCATGTTTGCCCTTGCTAGTCCCTCATGTTTTTCCATTTTTCCAGTTGTCCTCAACTTCCTTGAACCAAATAGTATTGAATTAGACACAAATCCGCTGAATAAAATAGGCTCTATTCCTAAGCCAGAGCTTGTCTAAACGGACACGAGAAATCCTGGACATCTTATTATTGACTACTGATCTTCTTGTTAATAGCCTAAGAAGCTTATTCACAAACCAGGGAAGAAATGCAGGTCTTCCAATGCTTAAGCTAAGAAATTCACTGTGCATTTTGGGTGTGTTTGGTATAACGGAAAATGTTTTCCTTGGAAAATGTTTTCTTGGAAAACAAGTAGTAGTAATTTTTATTCATTTTCCGGTGTTTGGTACACAAATTAAGGAAAATGACTTTTCAAGAGTATTCATAAATTTAGATATAATAAAAATGAAGCCATAAACTTTCAAACCGAAAACCTTCCGAACCCACAAATTTCATTAACTTTCGAACCGCTAAACTTTCAAAACAGCGGAATTTCGAACCCGTAAACTTTATAATTTCTAAACCCGTAAACTTCCAAACACATAAACCTTCGAATTCATAATTTTGAAACTTGTAAAATTTTGAACCTTTAAACCGATAAATAAAAAAATTAAAACTGAAAAATATATTTAAAAAATAATTTTTCGGGGGGGGGGGGGGAGGGGGGAGGGGGGCAGGGGACGGGGTGGGGGCAGTAAAACGAAAAAAAAAACAGAAATTTAAATTACAAAAAAAAAGTAAACATTTTTGTTGTGCGGGTGGGTGGGGTGGGGTGGGGGGGCAGGTGAGGGGGGTAGTGGGTGGTGGGCGGTGCAGAAAAACGAAAAAACAGAAATTTAAAATTGCAAACAAAAAAAAAGAAATTAAGGTAAAAAAAAATAATTATTTTTGCATGGGGGGGGGTTGCGGTGGGGTAGAGGGGTAGCAGAGTGGGTGGTAACGGAAACATTAAAATTGAAAAAAAACCTTTTTTGGAGAGGAGGTGGGGTGTGTTGGTGAGGGTGGGACCCTTGATAAGGAAAACATTTTCCTCCATTTGAAGGAAAATAAGTTCATAAGGAAAATGTTTTCCAAAATATTTAAGTCAACCAAACATAGGAAAATTGGAGAAAATGTTTTCCTTCGTACCAAACACACCCTTTACCATCTCCATCTTTCTTATCACACACTTTTACAGTGGATTAACAATATCAACTTCCGGTAGAATGCATTTTGCTCGGCTTACAAAGCATTCCGCAGGGTCCGAGAAAGAGCGGCACCCCTGTGGAATGCATTACATCGATTAGTAAAAATGTAACAGCCCTTGACAGTTAGGAGAAAGCCACCATTATCAGTTTAATGCTCCTCTTGAACCCTATTGTAAATGTTTGTTCCAAAATTCTAGTTACATAGGTGGACCGTCTGTAGGGGCATTGGGATTTTCTGTCTGCATATTTCTGTCTGTATATATTAAGCCAGACATGAATGTGTCTGAAATCCAATGCATAAAAAGTATTTTGATGTTCATAATAGCATATAAAATCAATATGGAGTGAACCACAATGAGCTGATTCTTCAAATTGCAGTTCAGGAATCATTTTCATTCAAAAGTATGCTACTTAAAATCTGATGGATAACTAGTGCCAACAGAATTCATCAATTGTTTTGACCAAAAAAAGAATTCATCAATTGTGTTTATGATATGGTAAGCTAATGGATTAAAATTATAACCACATACAAACATTATGAAGAGAATGAATATAATATTTAATAGGAAAAATGACACTGTATAGCCGCTGTAAAAATAATAGCCGAAAAATGTATAAATAATTTGTATATTTTTTGTATATATATACATTCTGTATGTTATATGCAAAAATTACATAAGTTCTATACATTTTTTCGGCTACCAGATGTAAATAGTTTCTGGCACGGCTAAAAGTGTTAATACCCCAATTTAATAACAAAGTCTCAAAGATTTAAAATATACATTGGCTCAATAGAGTTAGGTTCCATAGAATTAGACCCAAAGAATGGAATTACAGTCTGTGTAGCCTGAGAAATTATGCATTAATTTACAATTATCCAAGTAATATTAATCAGGAAAATAACTTAGCAGATGATTTTTGTGTCAAGATGTCAAGGTATATACACCAGCACTCAGCCAGAAATCTATTTTGGAGAATCGACTGAAACAAATTATAAACATGAAAACTGACTAAACTTTTCAAGAAGGTGTCCAGAAATTAAATAAAATGGCATTACTTCATTTGCAAATTTAAAAGGTCAATTTTAGCATTTATCAAAAAGGAAACAGAGGGAGATTAAATATGTACAATTCAATTAATTGAAAGTTGAATGTGCTTTCAGGTCAGAATTAAATGGTAATTTCTGGCAAGACTTATTTTCTGAGTAGCTAATTAACCATCAGTTCACTGAGTTTAAAGTGATAAAAGTAAGTTTAGTGACTTACGATAGAAAAAGTCGTAAGTTGGATGCTTTTATGTGACAAAAATTAGTTAAGTGACTTTTTGTAGGAAAAATTTGTAAGTTGGTTAACCATTTGAGATATTAAACTCCATTAGTCTATTAAAGTATATCTGATCATAATTAGATTATCTTAACACTGCCTGCCTATCAGCTTACTACATTAATCCTTCGTCGTTAATCCCTTTGACAGATATATAATCTGCATATTTGATTGACTAAGATGCTTATTCACAAACCAGGGAAGAAATGCTATTATGTTAACTAAGAGATTCGGCGTGCATTTTACTATCTCTTTCTTTATGGTAAACACACACAATGATAGGTTACAAGTACCTTGTTTTATGTTTTGATGATCTAACAAACTTAATGTCAAGAACTAAGATAAGGAACCTGTTACACATTCTCAAGACCTTTAGATCAAAAGGTTCCAGCTTGGGATATGGTTCAACTCTTCAGAGTCAAAGGAACAACAGAGGGAACAAATAGCTACCATTTCCTGAGGAAACTGCACAAGTCAACTGCCCCAGCTATAAAGTTGCTGCCTGCACATGCCACAGTGCAGAAACAGTGCAGCAGTCAACTTTATGGGGAGTGTCTTTTACCTACCTTGCTTACATCATCCCAAGTGATGTCACAAATGTTTTATTCACGTCAAGGAAGGTAAAACAAATCACTTGAACACTTAGATAATTTACTCAAGCACTCTCACGGTGATTGATCATCAAGCAGACAATTCTTAGGTGCATCAAGAACAAAGAACAACACTACTACGGACCAGTTCCCCATATCAAGTTATTGTATGTCCTTAGTTGAGTTGTAACTTTGTAATAGTTCTTCAATTGTAATTCCTACTTAGCTTGTTTAGAAGCATTGCGTAGGAAACCCTTTGTAAATCATAAACCCTTGTGTTTGTGTCTTGGCTAGAGTTAGTCAAGTTGTAAAGTCTTTGTAATAGAGTTATTACAAAGTGGCTTGTAATAGAGTGTTACAAGTTAGTGTGGGATTAAGAGGTTAATTCCTAGGTTACATAAGTTGTAATCTGAAAGTTACTCAGTAGTGAAGTTGAAATCCTACAAGGGTAGGTCGTGGTTTTTAATCCCGTTGAGCCGTGAATTTTCCACGTAAAATTCCTCTTGTCATTTACTTAATGCAGTGTGCGTGTGTTCTGTTGAAACTGATAGAGGACCTGGTTCTCTATAGAGTTTGGTGGACCCTTAAATTCTATCACACACATACTTACGTACAAAACATGGATACATACACAGCTTCATATTGTAACATATATGAGTTAATAATATCCAATGTTTTTGGTTAAGTGTCAAGAGATAGAACTTTTCTGTTGAGCAGTCAAGCATAATTGAGTACTATTATGCAAACGAGTAGACGATCAATCCAAACTGCAGCATCGGACACAGAGAAGTTATTCTGCCTGTATTTATTAAAATATCTGCTTAAACTTTTCACATGATCAAGTTGTGACCATTATCAGTTTAGTACTCCAATTCAACCCTATTTTGTACTAAAAATATTTCCACAGGACAAGCTTAAGAAAGTATTCAACGGTAAATCCTGAGTTACAAGAAAGTTAAATGCTCAATGGAATCAGTTAATAGAGTTTCACATTATCCATGCCACGTCAACTGGTAGATCAACAATCTTCATTTGGTCCTGAAAACAAGAGCAGAAGAATATCACTTAGTATTAGTTTACTATGTGACTTTACATGTGAGACAGCATCAAGAGAAACCTTAAAGTTACATGATTTACCAGGTTATCAAAGTAACTCTTATCATAAAGATTTACCTATAATAACCTTAAAGTTACATGATTCTATAAATATATTTCACAGTAAGTTTTTTCCTTTCACAAACCAAGGAAGAAATGCTTATTATGTTATAAGCATCAAACAAAGGAAGAAATGGTATTATGTTATAACCATGAAAACGAACTCTCTAAAACAAGTTTCATAATCAAACAACAGCCTCAATGGTCTTTGTATGACCACCAGAAATGTAATCTTCAAAAAGAGGTCCACAATGTATTTTTACCATTTCCTCATAGAGTCATACTCATACACATCACTAGCATTAATGGGGGACATAGAGTGTGCATGCATGCACGCGCAGCCACAACTTCATAGTATAAAGTATATATATGAAATGCTCAATGGGATCAGTTAATGGGTTGGCTGGAAGATCCTAAAAACAACAAGAATATATATCAGTTAGAATCCTTCAAATAAGAAACAGGATTCTAAAAACAAAATGTTAAAGTTTGCAATTAATTAAACAAACCTGCATCAGATGTTCTTGGCATAGGGCGCAAACTGTCGTCTGTAGGGGCATTGGGAGTTGCTTCTGTCTGAATATTTCTGGATTGGTTGGAAGTCCCTAACAGCAAGAGAAGCAGAATATCCATTATTAGTTTGCCACTAAAACACAACTGATTAATCCATTTAGGAAAGACTAATAACTAACAAATAGTTAGCCAGCAAATCTGTAGGGGCAGCCAAGAATATACTTAGCCTGCATCACATGTTTTTGGCTTAGGACGCGAACTGTCTGTAGGAGCATTAGGAGTTTGTAAGCCTCAAAACAAACTCTTAAACAAGTTTCATTATCAAACGTTACTTAGCATCAATGGTCTTTGCAAATATATATATATATATATATGACCACCAGAAACGTGGTCTTCTAAAACCTTAACTAAGAGATTCGCCGTGCATTTTACCATCTCCTTCTTTGTTATTGAACAACATTATATCTACACACTCAGGTAGTACTGTTTACCTCATTCATACCGCTATCATTAGTGGCAGATATGGTCCGGTATGTACACACAAAAAAACACCACACCACATGAATACAATGTTACATACATACATACATATATACACTAAAGAGACAGATCTTCAAGCAACAGGTAAATAAAGCCAAGGGATAGGCAATAATAATCCCAAGCTCTTGTAGCTAACGCTTCCTATGTTTCTTGTTTATCTTCTTATTCATTCATATGACTAAGAGTGTAATCTCGGTAACTGTCAGTATATGGTTATAGGCCATTGGCAATAAGTATATAGAAGGAACGAAAACGTCTGATAGTCATACGCCTAAGGTAATTGCTCCTAGAGTTAAATCTATTTTCTAGTTAAGCTATTTATATAAACGCGCGCCAGTCCTCACTCTTTATTGTCCTTTCAGAATTAAAATGACAATAGCTTGAGTACTATTATGAAAACTAGTAGATCAATCCAAACAATTGACATCTAATATCTAATGCAAGAAGGATCATACCAAGGCTAGTAAATATTGTCAATGCTACAGGTGTTCATATGGAACTCTATGCTTTAGTCTCTGCCCTACAATTGGCAGATCAACATGGATTTAATGTATTGGTATGTCAATATAAACAAATTCTAGTTACATAGTTGACTTCATATGTCAGACATTATCAAGAGTACAAACCTTCATCAGATGTATTTGGCTCAACGGGACGCGAACTGTCATCTGTAGGGGCATCAGGAGTTGGTTCTGTCTGCAAATTTGTGTCTGTGTCTGAAGAAGTAGAACTCTGTCCTTGGACCAAAGAGTCTGATGCAGATTGCTCTTCTGGAATTTGAGGAAAATCTGGAATATGTATACCAATGCCTTGCCTCAACCTTTCTCTATAATTTGGTTCTTGTGGCTGCGGGATGTGCTCAGGCCATGGAACTTCAGTGTTGAGTATCTCATGCGCTTTACGCCACCACGCGGTAAAAAATACATCATCCATAGCTGAATCAATGTTTCCACGATATTGATTATTAATCATGATTCTATATATAGTTTATGTATAACATGACATGCGAGCCTTCCATTCTAATGAAAAAGAACACAGCGGGGGTTCACAATACGAATGATAAAAAGGGCAGCTCGGTGCACAAGGTATTCCGCGTTCATATAGGATCCAGGGAAGGACCGCACCACAAGCAAGGTTGGATCTATGCTATACAGAGAGGGGTCACCGCCACCCCCAAAAGTTCGACAAAAATTCCATGTATACGTGTCTTTAGAAACTAGTGCTATATTAGTAGTGGACACCCTATATATAATGCAGATTTTGGTTGAACCCAAAAGTGCACTCGTGACCTTCAAATTCTGAGTCGCCCCTGATCCCAAGGGTGTGATATAGACAGCTTACCCTAATGCAAACTTTAGTGGCTACTTCCACGGCTCGAACCCGTGACCTATAGATCACACGTATCCTCCATCTAATTTTTAGTGTGAACTTGACATTGAGTTTTGAAACTTCTAAAAAGAAGATTTTTAAGAAAATAAATCTTATACTCTATATATAGTAACGTGACAAATAAATCACTTTACTCAAAGGTGAATCAAGGATTTAAATCATATGGGTTCAACTTTTAAAGTTTTTAGTATTGAACACATTATATTTTTAAAGTTAAGAGTTCTATATAATATTTTTGCAATTTTAATAAATTTTTACATATAAAATTTTACTCCGTGTCAAAAGTTATGGGTTCAATTGAACCGTCGTTAATACGCTAGGTCCGCCCCCTGACTTTACTGAAGGAGAAATTTACTTGTGCATCTCTTTAAAATAATGATGACTAAACTTTTCAAGAACGTGTACATAAATTAAAGAAAATGACCTCATTTGCAAAACTAAGCAACATGATCCGAATATATTAAGGAAAAATATTACCAAGAAACTTCAAGAAACAAGAGACCCCATTAAAGAAATTAATAGCTGTTTCCATTTAAAGCAAAGTCTAATTACTATATTGGAAAATCAGTTTTTAATACTTAACATTTATCAAAAAAGGAAGACTAACCAACAATATTTGGTGGTATAAAATTAGCTTCGGCGGCGAATGTACTAGCTGTATCATGCATTCCCTTCTTAACCATGTAATCATGAATGTAAAGATCAAGTCTAAAATCCAAGAAAAAAAAAAGAAAACAGATTCAGTATACAGAGCAAGAAACTGAATAAATCCCAAATGAAGAGAAGAAAAAAAAAAAGAGTTAATGTAGAAAATACGTAAAAATGAAATAAAAAAAAACTAAAAAAAAAAAAAAAAAAACTCACAGTCTTTGTTTTTCTTCGTCGTCCATGATCAGCACACTAAAAAAGGAATGTTTTGAGCAATAAGAATTGGAAAATTGGAGAGGATTTAGATTAAAAAATGAAAAATGCAGAAAATAGAGAGTTAAAATGAAGGGATTATGTTAGCTTGTATACTGTTGGTGCTATGCAAAAACCGAATGGAATATAACTGACAAACGAACTAAATTTGGCGCTAACAACGGTTATTTGAAAGGAAAAAAAGAAAGAAAGAATTAACTGAAAAGAATCACTTCCCAGAAATTGAAGGATTGGTAAATTATCTCTTTTTATGGAATTTAAGTGTTATACATTGATAGTGTAAAAAATATTTATTCGATCAGGTCATTTGATAGTTAATTAAATGTAAATATCTTGATAAGTATTCAATAATTTATTAAAATGGTACTCCATCTGGTCCACTTTAAGTGATTTTTTGGTCTTTTTATTGTGGTACACAATATTTGATTTTTTCAAATATCAAGAAGGAATTAACTTCTTCTTTTCAAAGTTAACCTTGGAGTAAAGAGCCTATGAATAGTTTGTTATATTTCCAATGAGCAAATTAAAGTTAATATGATCAATTTTATTATTAATTAATGCTAAAAGATGAATAAATATGTGTGAAAAGAGCTAAAAAATTACTTAAAGTGGACCAAAAGGAGTAACTTGTTATGAATTCAATGAGTTTGTGTGAAATGTCCATGCATTATTCTATGGATCCTATTCAATGAACCCATATACTTATTGAATGTTTCATTAAGATGTTGTAACTTTCAGATAATTTTACACCCTATAAAAGGGACTTCACTTTCTGTATTATGTTATACTTTGAATGGGAAATATTTATGTTCTCTTCTCTTTATTTTTTGTTTTCTTCTTATTTTATATAATACGTTATCAGCACGAAGTTCTAACCAACTGAGGTTATCTGCTTTATTTAAATTTTATCTTCTTCAAAAAGAGCTAGTTAATTTCTTTTCAGATTCAGGTATACATTCTTATATTTATAACATTTCTATTAGGATCTTCTTTAGCCTGCAATTTAATTACCATATACACAACTTATTTTGAATATTATTATAATAATTGCCCTGGTATGAGAACAATAAGCTTTGTTAAATTGTTATTTCATTATATAAACTATAAAGAAGTTTAAACCTACACATAAATAGATAAGTATTAAATTGAAGTATAATGATTAGACTAATTAAGCCCACATCCAAATATTCTGGCGGAATAGGCATTTAGAAGGAATTCTTGCAAAATTTTCAAAAGATTTAAACGCGTCTTCAATGAATTTATCACTTAAGTGTACATACTAATTAATAACTTTAAAATCAATGACTTAACTATTAGATGAATCGTATTCAATGTTGAAACTTGGAAGAATTGATATCATCTAGTTTTATGCCTACTTAACTTAATTAAACGTCTTCTAAGTTGAACAAAATATACTAGTACCTATTAATGAGATTACTTCTACTTATTTATTATCAGGAAATATACTTATATGTCTAAGGTTCTTATGTGTAGTATTAAGCACTAATTTATCATCACACTACACATAATTGTTTGTTCTAACAATTATATATAAAAAATGAATACACGATTATATTCTGCATTGATTTTTTTCATTGATAATAATCCTTATCATTCTACTTATTTTCTATGATAGTTTTCACTATGTCGAATTTGTCAAAGCATGAATTTGTGGCACTTGACATCTCTAAGAATGACTATTTTCATGGGTACTTGATGCTGAAATTCACCTTGACGCTAAAGGTCTTGGTGACACTATTAAAGAAGGAAATCAAGCATCAAGTCAGGATAAGGCGAAAGCCATGATTTTCCTTCTCCATCATCTCGATGAAGGGTTAAAAAGTGAATATTTAACCTTGAAAGATCCATTTCAATTATGGACTAGTTTGAAAGAACAATATGATCATGTAAAGGCCACGGTAATGTCAAGAGCTCGTCGTGAGTGGATGCACTTGCAGCTACAAGATTATAAGACCATAAGTGAATATAATTCTGATGTATATAGAATAATTTTCCAACTAAAATTATGTGGGGAACTTATTTATGATAAGGACATGTTGGAAAAGACTCCTCACTTTTTACGCCTCAAATATAGTGTTACACAAGCAATACAATGAAAAGGACTTTAAGAAATATTCTGAGTTAATTTCATTCCTTTTGATGGCTGAACAACATAATGCCCTTTTAATAAAAAACCATGAAGCCCGCCCCTACTGGATCAGCTTCATTTCCAGAAGCGAATGTGGTAGAGATAAATCCAAAGTCGGAAAGAAGATAAAATAATTATTGTGACCGTATAAATATACATGGGCGTGGCAAGGGACGAAATAATAATCGTCATAATGGTGGTCGTTATAAACATGAGAATAATAAGGGTTCTCAGAATAATCCTTCAAAAGCAAAGCTAATATTTGCCACTGATGTGGTATGAAATATCTTTGGGCATGAATTTGTCGTACACCTGAACACTTTATCAAGCTTTATCAAACCTCTTTAAAAGGAAAATAAAATAATATTGAGACTCACTTGACTTTTCAAAATGATGTTGAGGCAGGCCTTATGAATAATCATGATAAAGTTGAAGCAAACATTGCCAATAAAGATGATATTTTTGAAGGCCTTGCAGATATTACTCATTTAGAAGCTGAAGATTTCTTTGAGCATCATAAGCGAAGACTTATTATTGGCAAACATTATAAGAACAAATATTTTTTTGAAGTTCATATTTTGAATAAAACTTTTTATGTTGTCAGTATTTACTTTCCTAAATATAATTTCTTTTGTTCTTAAATTTTTCAATATTACTTATGATGTATTTTTTTTTCTTTATGAAGAATATGAAGTATTCCCAGTCTTCAGTTGGTCGTATGAATAATAAAGAAGAAATATGACTTCTTGATAGTGCTACGATGCACACCATATTAAAAGATACGAGATAATTCTCTTATCAATTATGAAAGAAGTCAATATCATAGCAATATCTGGTAGTACAAAATTAATTGAGGGTTCTGGAAGAGCGACTATATTACTACCAAGAGAAATTATACTGACTATTATTGATGCATTGTAGTAGATCTGAAAGAAACTTGTTGAGTTTAAAAAATATTCTCCAAAATGCCTATCATATTGAGACCACCGATGAAGGAAATGTTGAATACCTTTATATTACAACAATAAAAGCGGAAAAGAACTATGTGCTTGAAAAGCTTCCCGTATTTTCCTCCGGATTATACTACACTAGTATTAGTAAAGGTGTTAATCGGGCGGGCTGGGACGGGCTGGACAAAAAAAACGTCAGCCCGTACGGGTTCGGGGTGGGTTGTTATCGGGCTGGGGTTAACGGGTTGGTGGCGGGCTGGGATTTTTCGGGTTCTATAGGGCCCGTACGGGTGCGGGTTTAACGGGCTCTGGCGGGTCGGGCTATATATAATTTTTTTTTTAAATTAAGTTATATTTTTCTTTTTCAATGTTCTTGAAACTTTTAAGGGTTAAAATTAAAGATTAGAATTGAACTTTTAAGGGTTAGAAATAAAAGAACAAACTAAAAAATTCTAAATTTGAAAATAGAAAGTAAGTGTCTATATAAAAAATATTGAATAAGACTAATATGCAATATAAAAAAATCACAATATTTAAGTAACTTTGATATTTTTATTGAATAATATAATACTTCAAATTAATTTGCAAGTTCTTTTTTGATTTTTAAAATTTTTGAACTTGCAAATTAAAAGTTTACAACAATTGTTAAAAAAAAAAAGAAGAAATAGTAAATCATATGTTTTGCATCATCTTTGAAAGCTCTTCCATGTCAATGTGAGGTTCTTGGTTTCCGGTATTATAATCGG